GCTCCAACCTACCCCCCCTGGCTCCAACCTCCTTCCACAGAATTTTAGGGAGCCAGAAGGTGCCCCGTGATCCCTCTTTTCTCCAGGCTGAGCCCCCCCAGCTCCCTCAGGAGTTCTCCAGCCCCTTCCCAGCTCCCTTCCCTTCCCTGCACACGCTCCAGCCCCTCCGTGTCCTTCCTGAACCGAGGGACCAGGTCCCAGCACCGGGGCACAATCCCTTCCCTAGCCTTGCTGGCCACACTATTCCCAACACAATCCAGGTGCCAGTGGCCTCCTGCCCCGCTGGGCACACCCGGGCCACTGTCACCACCACCCCCAGGGCCTTTCCCAGCTTTCCATCCCCTCTCCCCCCACCCCGGAGCTCCGTGGGGTCAGAGTGACCCATCGGGGCAGTGACTCCTCTGCCTCGCTGTCGGCTGCTGGGTTAGGCCTGGCTCAGAGCCTCTCCTAAGCCCAGCCCTGCCTGTCTTTGCCCCCAGGTGTGTACAGGGGCGGCTCTGACGTGCTGGTGAGGGCCAGGCTGGCGCTGGGGGACGGGGTGACCATGCAGGTGACGGTGAGGAGCAAGGACGAGGCGGCCGTCGACGTCATCCTGGCGGCCGTGGGCTGAGGCCGGGCCGGGCCCTGGCCCCTGGAGAGGCCTGTCTTGTCCTTTTGCATGTGGGTTTTATCCCTCAAAATCTGGGAAAATATTTTGTACGAGGTCCCGTTCTGGGTGGCTTGGCCGTTCCCACGTCCCCTTCCCTCCGTGTCCCTCGCACATTCCCACTTAATTTACGGGAAGAGAAAAGGGGGCGTGTGCAGGTGGGTGAGGAAACGGGAGTCAGGCTTTTTTTTTTTTTTTTTTTTTTTTTTTTTTCCAGATATATTTACATCCATTAACTAATCCAAGTACTCTGAGAACCTGTCAGACTTTGATGTTTTTTTTTTTTTTTTTTTTTTTTTTGTCCAAAATCGGTTTTTATTACCAGAAAATAAACCCTGGTTCGAGCGGCGGGGTTCCTACGAATCGCTGTTAATAAAATAGAAATTTCTTGTTCTGGTTCTGCCCGGTTTTCAGCGCAGGAAAAGAAAAAAAAACAAACCCAGCCCGTTTTGTTCAACAAAAAAAAAGCCCCTTATTCCCAAATTAAATTCCCAACACAGGCTGGTAAAAAAACCACAGGGAAACCTGCAGGTTGATGGTGCCTTCGTGGTTCTTCCTGGTGGGAAAATCCATGTGCAAAAGAGATGGAACTTCATCTCCTGAGGCAGATTTATGTCAGGTAATTGCCAACACCGGTGCAGCCTGTACTGGGCTGGAATGGGAAACATCCCATAGCAAAAACTGGGAAGGGGAGGGGACAGAGGGACCTCTCTGCTGCTGAGCTAGTGTTTCTTTACCAAGCCAGGGTGAGGAAGGAAGGAAGAAACACTGATTTAATGCCGAGTTCACCTCTAAATCCAGAGTTAGGCCGGTCCAGAGGGTGGGAGAGCTGTTGGCATGCCGGAACTCTTTGCTTTTCCCACACCTCCCTGATGTTTTCCCGGTGTTCCAAAGGATTTAACTGCCCGAGTGCAGCCCTGAGTTCAAAGTGTTGGCTCTGGGAGGTAAAGCCAAGGCTTTTTCCTGCCCCCCAAAGCCTGACTGGGAAGCAAAGAGCCAGAACTGGAGCGGCAGCAGCTCAGAAGGAGTTGATGAAGTTGAGGTATGAGTTCAGGAATCCCGTGGGATCCTCCAGCTGGGGATAGTGGCTGATGTGGTCATCCAGCACGGACACTGTGGACATGGGAAGCAGCTTCCTGTGGGAAGAGTGGAGCAAGGTTAGTCAAGCTTAAGCTTAAACACAGGACCAGCGGCAGGCTCAGCCCGGTGCCACCGGTGAGGAGGGCAGGGCTGGGATTCCATCCAGAACATGGATTTGGGATCAAAAAAAAACACAGCTGGCCAGTCTTCCGAGTGCTGGATTTCCTCCAGGTAAGTTTGGAGGAGAAAATTCCCTCGGGGATTAAATCTTCCCTCTGTGATTTTAAAATTTGGCACTGGTTCGACTGAAAATTGTGATTTTTGGGTGCCTAAAATAGGGAAACAGTTCCCAAACTGCACAAGGCTCCGACTTGGAGTTGCTTGGTTCCAGGTGGGAATTAAGAACAGCCTCTGTGAGAATGGGATTGGAGGGAAAGGCAGCCAAAATATCCCTTGGAATGAGGCCCCAGGGGCACATTCCCACTCAGTGGTGGGTGGGATCTTACCTGTAAAGCTGGAGAAACTCCGGGTGTGGATTCACGGGGTCCAGGGGGCCGTAGATGAGATGCACTGGGAGAGAGAAGAACAAGGAATTTACGCCCAAGGACATCCCTAAATTTAGCCAAGGGCCAAATTCCCCCCTCACGTGGAGCTTGGGAAGCTTCCAGTGGAGCTTCCAGTGGAGCCCTGAGCAACAGGCTCCAACAGCCTCCGGTGTCCTGGTTGGAACTTCCCTGGAGCAGCACCTGGAATGAGCCTCTCAGGGAATGTCGCTCTGCTCAGCGGGACAAACTTCCCTTGCCAAGGCGTGGCTGAGCCTTGAGCTGGAAGTTTGGGATGTTCCCCCTGGATTGGAGCTCCATCATCATCACCGGGATGACGGGAAGCTCCGGCGAGGAGCGGAAGGGGACAGTTCCCACCGATCCCAAGCAGGAAAGGCAGAGATTCCAGGGATTCCTACTCACGTGGGACAGAGGTGGACACCAGAGCCCTGACCCAGCGGTCACTGTGCTGCTTCCTCTCGTTGATGTACTGCAAAACACTGAGGAGAAATCCCTGGTTACAGACATTCCAGGGGTGGCACAGCCTGGGATTTGCTCCCAGGGCCACGGATGGTGAGGGGGGATCTGCATCTCCCATGGATCTCCCTGGGACAGCAGCACCACAACAGCATCCCGGAGTTTAGTGACTCGGTTCTTCCAGGGGGAGAAAAGGACACGCTGAGCAGGGATGC